ACTCAGGGAAGAGAATAAGAACCAGAAGCCTATCTGTTATGTAAGCAAAGTCTTACAGGGCGCCGAGCAGAACTACCCACTAGCGGAAAAGGCTGTTTTTGCCCTTGTTTACACAGCTCGCAAGTTGAGAGCCTACTTCCAATCACACCAGATTGTTGTTTATACTGATTTCCCGCTAAGGAAAATACTGCAGAAGCCAGAGCTCTCTGGTCGGCTCATCGGATGGAGTGTCGAACTGAGTGAATACGACCTTAAGTTTCAGCCGCGCACTACTATAAAAGGCCAAGCTATGGCAGACTTCCTAGTTGAATGTGCTCCGGTGGCTGTGAAAGAAAAGGCACTTGAACACCCACTTTGGGTTTTGTATGTGGATGGAGCTTCTAATGTCGAAGGATCTGGTGCTGGGGCTGTATTACTGGGCCCTGATAGATTCAAGTCTGAACACGCGCTGAGGTTTAAGTTTCAGACGACCAATAATGCTGCAGAATATGAAGCCCTCATATATGGATTGAAGTTGGCGGCTGAGCTGAAGGTACAAAGCATTCAGGTTTTCAGCGACTCTCAGCTCGTCGTCCGCCAGGTGAACGGCAGTTGCGACATCAGGGATCCCCAGCTCGGTCGTTACGCCTCTGTGGTCAACAGATTGAAGTCCAGGTTCGCTTCATTTCAGATCGACAAAATACCGCGGGCAGATAACCAGCGAGCTGACGAGTTGTCAAAGTTGGCTTCCTCGCAGGACATTAACCCTCAAAGATCAACAATCGTCGAGGTGCTTGACGCACCGAGCTACACTGATTTCATAGTCGAGTGCCAATTGTTGAGTACAGACCCCTCTACACCGAGCTGGACCACCCCGCTTATGAATTATCTACAAAGTGGCGAGCTACCCGAAGACCAGTCCGCTGCAAAGGTGATTAAACGCAGGGCGGCACATTTCACGGTGTTAGATAACCAGCTCTACAAGCGAGCAGCCTCAATGCCCCTATTACGCTGCCTTACTCCTTACGAGGCTGAATACGCCGTGAGAGAAATTCACGAGGGAGTATGTGGCACGCACATCGACGGCAGAACTTTGGCTCGGAAACTACTGAGGCATGGTTATTACTGGCCCACTATGGTCGAAGACGCACAGGACTATGTCAAAAAGTGCCCGACCTGCCAGTTTAATGCTGATGATATCCACATGCTAGGTATCCGAGCTCGTTCCACAGTTTATTCTAACCCAGTGACTGCCTATGAACTGAGCATAAGTACCTTCTTTAAAACAGGGGAAATGCTATCATCTCTTACGTCTCCTCGGCCTTTTGCTCAATGGGGTGTCGACCTGCTCGGCCCCTTCGTCAAAGGCAAAGGAGGCTGCACTTTCCTGGTCGTTGCGGTGGATTACTTCACCAAGTGGATAGAAGCTAAGCCATTATCCACGACAACAGAAAGGAAAATCGAAGAATTCTTGTTCAATTCCATATTGTGCAGGTATTCTTTAGTAACTTAGATCACAAGTAAAATATATGCAAACACAGTCTGTGGCTCAGCTCGCCCATCTGTGTGCAGGTTCGGCATACCTAAGCGGATTATCGCCGATAATGGGCCACAGTTCCGAGCTGCAGCATTGAGATCGTTTTGTAACGATTATGGCATCGAGCTCACATTGACATCCGTGTATACTCCACAGTCAAACGGGCAAGCCGAGTCCGCCAATAAAATCGTCTTGCGTGGCCTCAAGACACGCGTTTTGGCTGCGCATTCTAATTGGGTTGACGAGCTCAACAAAGTGCTTTGGTCTTGTCGCACCACACCAAGCTCGGCCACGGGCGAAACCCCCTTCAGCTTGGCCTATGGAGCTGAAGCCGTCATCCCAGTAGAGGTTGGATTGCCGTCCGATCGAGCAGGTCGGCATGACGATCTCAACAATGAGCGACTTTTGAGAGAAAACCTGGACTTCATAGAAGAGGTCAGGGAGATGTCTAGAATAAGAAACGTGGCACATCAAAACCGCGTTGCAAAATTTTACAATAAAAGGGTTCGAGCTCGCCAGTTTCAAGTTGGCGATCTGGTTCTACGCAAGGCTGGGTTAACTAACACTCAGTCACACATGGGTAAGCTCGCTCCTAATTGGGAAGGTCCCTATATGGTGGTTCGGGTTAAGCGACCTGGCTCTTACATGTTAGCAGATATACACGGGCATCAGTTACCTTACCTTTGGAATGTACAGAACCTTAAGAAGTTTTACAGTTAATGTGTGTTATGATATTTCGTTTGAGGTACTATCCATCAGTTGTAAACAAACAGTATACCGAAAATACAACACAAATTCAAAGAAAAGTTCATTTTGTATTTCATCAAAGGCATTTACATTGAAGATACATGCTACGAATTCATTGATCAAATACAAAATGCAAAAGAAAATACAACAGAATAAAAGAAAAAGTCCTAAGTCTAATCATCTGTCAAGTCGACGGGCATTGACGCGTCAGCTGCAGGCGGAGAGGAGCGACTTGGTGGCGAGCGAGCAGCGACCTCGGAAGCTGGTGCCGTAACGGGAGATCGAGCTGGCACCTCGACGGGCTGAGAGTCGGGTGGAGTACTGGATGGCTCCTGCTCAGCAACAGGAACCCCTTCCACCCATCCGTCGAAGGAAGGCAGCCCCGCAGGGTCCTCCCCCTCTTCTACAACAGAGGGAGGCCAGACGAGAACCTCCTCCTCGTTGAGATCCCATCTCAACCGCACCGTCGTGTCGGCCAGGGGAGCAAGGCTCTTACCCTGCTCGTCGATATCTTCCCCATCGAAGAACGCCAGCTCGCGGATGGGGAAGTCAGGGCGGTGGTGCAGCACCTTACCACGGATCTCGTTGTAGATCTCCGTGGTCATGTTAGCAGACGCCACCGCCACTGCGTCTTGGAACGCGGGCGAGCCG